TGAGTGAGCACGCATGTACTGTACTGTACTGTACTGTACTGTACTGTATGGTTGGCTGGCTGATGCAGAGGCAGAATTCGGTCACGAGTTGCGATCGAGTCCGTGAGTCACGAGTCGTGAGTTGGGGGATCCCGCCTTCGATTGCGGAGTTTAGGCATGTACTGTAGGGGAGAGCCGATATGTAGACGTGAATGTTTGCGATCGAGCGCATGCGCACTCCTTTTGCCTTCCAATCACCACCCACCGAAGCATCGCGAGAAGCTTGGAAAGGGACCGGATCATCGGAACGCACACATCCAGCATCTGTCATTCCGCAAGAGTCGGGCGCACAGGGAAGACACGGACGGGCCCACGACGGAACTAGAATCGTCCACGTATCTCTTCCCTCTTCATCAACGCGCGTGCCGGATTGTTTTGCTGGTCTTGCTGCACTCGCGGGCGAGAGATCAAGAGTCAATAGATCACGCTTCAAGAAGTCAAGCGTCAAGAGCGTGTCTCTCATCAACCGAATTGACTGGAAGACCGCTTGGCCCCGCATACTTGGTGCTGTGCAGCATGGCATCCACAGGAGGTGCGTGAAACGATGCACGCCGGTTATTGTCCTACGCACCAGCCGCTCGGCATCTGACAATTCGTCCCTTTGCATGCTTGAGACAGACTACATCTTCTTGTTCTTTGTGCTGGCGGTGGTCGGAGGCATTTTCTGGATTGTCAAGGGGCAACAAGTCAGCGCTTCGATTGCTAAGCAGAAGCAAGGTCTCAAGGTGAGTGTTGGAGAGGTGAACAGGTCATACTTGCCACACGCGTTGGGGAGGAAAGGGAGGGCGGCGCAGGCAAGAGTCTGGACAGTATGCCCTCGAAAGCAAAAGAAGAAGGGAGAAAGTACAAGGAGACAATCTGAATACTGGCAAGGACGAGCACCGCAGCACGTCAGGAGCTGGGCATACATGCGGTGCTGATCACCTTGTGTCGCTCCTCGCGCTCCGAACATAGAGCCGTGGCTTGGACTTTTCTGGCGATGGGCTTTCTGTCAAGACGAACAGGAGGCAGATGTCGCAGCAGGAGTACATCGTGAGTTTGGATTGTCCTTGAGATTTGGACGAACATTTGAACGTGTTTGGATGAGCGGGGACGCGAAGCGACTTTGAAGTCAGGCCGGTCGACCTACAGGGCTGCCATCACGCCACTTGGATCCCTCCATTTCGTCCTTTCTAAACGTAGCTCTCAAGTCGCTAGCCTGTCAGCGCAGCACAGTCGCTAATCGCCTCGTGCCTTTCGTTTGCGCGACGCTACCTTTCGCAGGAAAAATCGCAAGCCAGTCTAGCCAGGACACAGGAAAGAGCTGCGAAGCACAAGAAGGCCTTTGGATTCAAACATGGCGAGGATGGGGCTCAGCACTGAGGGCGCTGTCATGCTTTGAAGACTTTCCATTCGTACTGCCCGCTCGCCCACGCTCACCTCCACGCTCCGCTTGCTTCGACTTGCACCTGCGGTTGCCTCTCTCTCTCTCTGCCTTTGCCCTGTCTATCGGCTGCCCCTAGACGTCAGGTCGAGCGAGGCTCATAGAATCTGTAACATACTGTCTGGATTCCACACTTTTGTTCTTGCCCTGATAGCACACATTCATTGATTACACGGCAACCACGACTGCTCTCTGCCGTGATCTGGCGTCAGACATGCCGTATGCGCGGACCGACCTTGGCAGCTTCTCGCGATGATCCACGATCCCAGCACTCGTGAAATTGGCTCGTACCTCTCTTCGCGATTCTCCTGACAAGCCGTGACGTGAAATTAATTTGCAGTGGGCAACTGTATGCGGTTCACAAATACAAACGAGGCGTACAAAGCGGAAGGATGGGAAAAGAAGCTTTGCTGAAGAGGAAGCAAGTCAAGCATGGACATCGTGTGCAGAGAGATGGGAAAAGGCTGCATCAAAGCAAGCAAGAAGGATGCACAGCTGTGCGCAAGGAATTAGTCCCTTCAAGCTGCGCTGTGGGACAATAGTGCGAGGAGCGACGAGAGGTCCTTCAGGCTCGCGTTGGCGTCACGACGAGCCGCCAAGTGCCGCAGCGATATGGTTGAGAGCGCGTTCACGATGCGTGAGGTCAGCTGTTGCATTATGCCAATCAGTTCCGCATCTGGTGCATCGTCTCGGATTGCGTAGATGAGCAGCTCAGGTCGCAGAGTAAGGTGCATCTCGAGCGCTTTTCGCCGCCCAGAGACGGGCATGAGGGCCATTGATTCCTTGTCGGCATCGAGCGAGCCTGCTTGCGGTACCAAAGCGCTGTCCGAGACAGTCTCCGCTGTCGGAGCTGCTTCGATGGCTAGTTTGCCCGATTCGTCCGAAGCTTCACTGACTATACTGTGATGCACGTGTCCGTCCGACAAAGCCTCGAGTCGAAGGCAAAGCATGCCGAGCTGTCGAATCTCGCCGATGTCCAGGAGCTGCGGGGTAGGTTCGAAAACCTGGGGTGCGATAGCACCGGGTTTACCAGCGAGCCGGCCTTCCAACTGCTTCGGATAGAGCAAGTATAGCAGCTCAGGGGTTTCGAGACCTTTGAGCCTACGCTCGCCTACTTCTGATATTCCAAAACCCATCCTGCGCAGCAGAACAACGTCGCGAGCGACGTTTGGATGGAGCAGTTGAAGCGCTTCTTCGTCTGCTTCTGCGGCTTCCAAGCTCGAAGAGTCGTTCAGCTGATCGGCGTCGCCACCGAAAGAACCGAGCACGGCAGTGAGCTCAGTGATGACGTCTTTGCTTGCCATGATCTGACCCCCATCAGCTGCACTGCTTATGCGGGAAGAGCGATTGACCATGGGGCCAAAGTAATCCATACGTCTAGTGATAGGATCGGCTTCGCAGACCGGAAATCCCCAGTGGATGCCCATACGGACGGACAGGCCACGATGAATGAGGACCCCCTCAGAGTCGTGCACCTCTCGTCCATCCTCGCACTCCAGTAGCTCTTGAGGCCAGTCCTCACGCAGCAGCTGCGCCTGCACTGTGAAGCACCAAAGCAAGGCGGCTGTGACAGAAGGGAAAGACACCATGAATGCATCGCCCTCAGTCTTGACTTCGTACCCTCCGATGGTGCGAAGCTGGCGCCGGAGCAAGTAGTTGTGCATGCGCATCGCCGACTGCATGCCACCGTTCGTCTCCCACAATGATGTCGAGTTTTTAATATCGGTGAACACGAGAGCGACTTGTCCGATTGGAGGGGCAACTTCGCGCTCAAGGCGTGCGAGCGTACGATCACCAGGCAGTTCCTCTCCACGGGCGCCTCGAGAGCGTGTGCCCTTCTTGTAAGCGTCGATTGATGATTCGAAAGTGGTGGATTCGTGTCGCTGCTGACGATTGCCAAAGAGATCTCCGACAGCAACGACCATGACCATGATGCTTTCTTCTGCACCGTAGCTGATAGCAAAGTCGCGCAGCTTTTGCGCCGCTATCATGACGTCGCTTCGCTCCATGCGTGCAATGTCGATTGCGGTTTGATACGAGACGTGGTCCCACAGTGTGCGGTTCGCGAGGATGACAAACTCGTCCGAATCCGACAGTTGGACGGTAGTCACAGCTGGCCTAGCGTTGACGACCGACGAGAGATGATAGTAACCAAAGGAACGCGACACGTCGAGCATGTCATTGACATGGCCTCGTAATGAAACCCATCCTTCCGCCGACCTGATGCGGGTCGTCTCGTCGCGGTCGAAAGGCTCGTGCTTGACGCTCACAAGGTGTGCGCTACCGTTGCGTGAAAGCACTGCTAGAGCGTCGCCGACATTTGCAACGTGGAGCGTTCTGCCAACGACGTAAGCCAGCACTGCGGACGCTCCTGCGCGCCACTGGTTGAGGTGTGTCGACTCGGCAATGGCTGGTGCGTCGGCGCGTCGATCATCTTGCGCAGCCATCACACGAGCTTCGCTCTGCTTTCGGCTTCCCTCGGCCATGAGCAAGTCGGCGTACTCCTTCTCCAGTCGCAAAAATGCTCGACGCAAGACGTCCGGCACAAGCTGCGAGTCCGGCGACTCGTCGTCGGGTGTGTTCGCGTAGTGCTTGATTTCGTATTGAATACGATACGCAACCCATTGTGCGAGATGACTTGAAATGCGACTACCAACATGACGTCCGTGGTGGCGCCCTTCGAAAAGGCCCACCAGCCCTTCGTTGTCCTGTCCGCGGAACTTTGGAAAGACTGTATCATTGATGCTCAGGTGTTCAGACTTGCCAAGCGCGTCAGCAATGCCGTATGCCATCCCGTTGATATGAGATTCGGATGTGCGAACCCGGCGGTCATCATGTCCATCAGGCAATTCCTCTTGGCGAAGTGTGACGGTGACGTCCATCAAGCCTAGCACGCGAAGGCTAGTAAGCCTCTGGAAGTCCGAAGCCACTGCATCTTGGCGCTGGTAATTTGCACGCCCATTCGCTCGACCGCTACCACTGCCGCCACCACTTCCTCCTCCTTTGACCTCTAGTCGCTTGTTGCCCGACAGGTTGAGGTATCTCAGTGCCGGGCTCGAGTTCCAATTCCAGTCGTACTGCTGATTGGCAATGTTATACTTGAGCGTATTGTTGCCCACGTCTAGATTGTGGAGTCGCCGCATCTCTTTGAGCTCGGCAGGCAATGTTTGCAGCTTATTGCCGTTCAAGTGGAGGATGGTGAGGTCCTTGAGCCGTGGCAAATCGTCCGCGGGAATACTGTTGAGATTGTTGCCGCTCATGTAAAGCTCGGTTAAGCGCGTGTTAAGTGAAAGTCCAAAGCCAGGGATTTCGTAGATCTCGTTGAACGATAAGTTGAGGATCTCGAGCTCGGTCAAGAGACCGAGCACGCCAAAGACGTCATCGGTGAGCCTATTGTCTCCCAAACGGAGCTTCTTTAGCTTTTGAGCCATCGCAAAGATGGCCCGCGCGCCGCCTGGGGTCTGCGGCACGACGAGCGTCCCCCCGATAGAGGTTCCCGAGCCCTTTCGTGCTTGATCTAGGGCTGCGCCGGACTGTTGAGCGAGTGCGGCCGCATCTGGCCCAGGCAGGCCAGTGGAACCGCTAGCGGAACCCCTAGACGTTCCAGCGTAGTCCATTTGACCACCTAGAGGAGGAGACGGGAAAGATTCCAGCAGGTTCGAGCTGGCATTGATCGAAGCCAAGCTGCTGCACATCCATATGCTGTTCGGCAGCGATTTGAGGTTATTATTGTGCAGGTGTAATCTGCGAAGCTTGCCAAGCTTGCCGATGGATTCTGGCAGTGCCGCCAAGAGGTTGTTGGTGCAAGAAAGGAAATCCAACTGCGTCAGCTCTCCGATGGAGTCCGGCAGGGTGACGAACTGGTTGCGGTCCAATATCAACGTCTGCAGAGACGGCAAATTTTTGAACACGGTCTCTTCCAATTTGGCCATGTTCGCCGAGGAGAGATCGAGCGACGTCAAGGCTCCAGGCTCGAGCGCCGTAAGAGTTGCTTTTGACAACGGGTTCTGGCCTATACTGAGGCTGCGCAGCTGGGGCAGTACGTGCGCGTCGAGAACCTTGAGCGAATTATTTTCGCACAGCAATGATTGCAGCCGTGGCAACGTGAAGAAGACCGAGACATCCTGCAGCATATTGCGCCTGACATCGATTGACTGAAGATTAACGAGCTTTGCAAATGTGGACGGTAGCGTCTCGATCGAATTTCCGACGAGAACCAAGCGTTCGAGCCGGATGAGGTTTCCAATCTCGTCCGGAATACTCGAGATGGCGTTGAAAGAAATGTCCAGCTCCACCAATCCTTGCACTTCGCAAAGGATCTGAGGGAACACTTCGAACCTGTTATTTGAGATGTTCAGGTATCGCAAGGTGGTAATGCGACTGAAGTAGCCAGGCAGCTCCATGAGTCGGTTGTTCTGGATCTTGATCGAGGTTACAGAACTCATTTCGTCGAGGGCGATGTGATTCAAGTCTGGTATCCGATTGTCTGAAACGTCAAGATGCGTCAGAGTCTCGCTTGAGCGAATGCTTTGCGGGATCCTCTTCAAGGCCAGGTGGGAGAGACGAAGGGTGTGCAAGCTTGTGCAAAGCTGGACAAAGTCGAGAGGCAAGTCCGACATCGGGTTGCCGGACAAGTCAAGGCTGCCAATCCAGTCTGCATGCCTATACAAGAAGATAGGCACCATCTCCAAATTGTGATTGGTTAGGTCAAGCAACCTAAAGCGATCCTCTGTGCTACCAAACGACTCCGAATCGAACTTGGTGACGCTGTCTGGGCGGTACGAAAACTTGAGCAGGTAGGACAAGTCTTCTGCGCCGAGCTCCTCCAACGAATCGTTCTCAGTGTAGCCGGCTTGCTCCATACGTCGCCGCTGAAGCATGGCGGGCTTCTCCGCTTCGCCCAGCGGCCGTTCTG